GTTAAAGGTGTGCGCCACCACACCAAGCCTTAGTTTTTATTTTTAAACTCAATCTTGCTCCTTTGCTTTCTGTAATTTTTTTTGGGGGGTAGTATAGCTGGAAATTAATTGAGGGTCTGCATGCTGGGTAAATTATCACCCTAGCCCACCTCTCTTCCCCTAATATAATGAATAAAACATTAATAAAAAGAATAGGTTTAAAGTACTTGCCATCAGATATTCACCCGTGATTTCCCTGTAGCTGCTTCAGGAGATGCAGTTCCTGTGTATCTCAAGAAGGTCACACGGACGGAACACTGCCAAGACAGACCACCAACCTCAGGCTCGAGTGTGTAACCCTTGTTGGTAACTGCAGAGTAGACCACTGAGATCCACCTACATGGCAGACTAACCCCCAAGTCAGGATCAGGTGTTGTGCACTGTGGCAAGTGATAGTGAGAGAAATGACAAAACCCAGTCAGAGTGTCAGTGAGCTAATTGCTCTCCACCTGAACCACATTGTTTAGGCTAGGCTAAAACATTTCACACGTGACAAGGGCCAGGAGCCAACTGGGAGAGCATTGTCTCAAGGATGGCCAAGAACTGGCCAATTAAAAATGAGTCCATAGCATGCTTCATCTACACACCCCAAGGACAGATACTATGGGGCCAACCGAAAACAACTCACGCCCATACTTTATTTGCATAATGACATCATGTTCTTTGAATTTGCTGTCCTCAATTAGGTCCGGGTATGAAAATTAGGTGAAGACTGGTGGTCCTGCAAGATTGCCTATAAAGTCCTGTAATCTCTGGAAAGCAGCTCCTCCTGCCCTCATTACATTCAGTGTGCTGGATGAGTTCCTTGCCTAGGCTTGTACTGTGCTTTGGAATAAACCTTGCTTTTGCATCCAAGTTTCAGTTTCCTGGTGGTCTCTTTGGGGGACAAGAGTCTGGGCACAACATTAGTCCCTAAATAAGTGTGACATTCCCATTTGCCGATGCAGCTGGGCATGCTCCCCATGTCCAAGGAGGAAACCTACCTGACAAACACAGTCTTCAGAGGCCTTCCAGAGAGTGCAGTTTTTCAAACCCACCTTTCCAAACTGTCTGGTTTCAGAGATAATTCACTCAAACTCGATCCTAGTCTTCATAACAGTGAAACTGTGTAGGTTAATGAATTCCACTAGCAAGGCAGGAGAAAGTAGGGCAATAGAGACTGGAAAACTGCAGGTTTCTCACAGAGGTTGCAGTAATAACAGAGGTTGGGATTAAAAGAAATATTAACAAATGATAACTGTTAATAAAGGATTCACACAGAAAGGGCTGGATTGCAGTGGCAACCTCAGATTGAAGGGGCCATGGAGAAAACCTGAATCTCTGTCGCATGTGGCAGGGTAAAAGTCCTGGCAGAGAGGCCAGGAGGCCATTGGTGGAGGAGGAGCCTCAGTTGCCATGGAGGCCCTAGGGTGTTGGAGATGCCAGGATGATGGGATGACTGCCAAGGGTGGGTCAGGTGTGGAGTAGAGTCAGCACGAGTCTACCAGAAAAACTGTATATGCTGCAGGTGACAGAGCCAGAGAAATCGAAAACCCCAGGACCTTTGGAGCCCAGAAGATAGCAGGGTGACAGAGCCAGAGAAATTGAAAACCCCAGGACCTTTGGAGCCCAGAAGATAACAAATTCTATTGCCCAATGTCAGATGCCAGACATTGGGCTGCTCTATGCTCATTTTGCTTTGATTTTGATTGTGCCCTGGCTCTTCCCTCTTTGAAATAAGAAATATATAACTTACATTTTAGTTTGAGGAGGCCATAGTTAGACTTTGGATTTTGGGGGAGAAATTGGAGTTTTAAATTGTTGGAATTTTAAAAAGACTGTGAAACTTTTTAATTAATTGGACTGTGTTACATATCATGATATTAGTATTGACATGAGATCTTGGCAAAACAAGAAAAGCATGGTTAGGGTTTAATAGCAATGTGTTTGTGTCTTGAGTTGACAAGGTGTCAATTGTTCTGTTGGTTAGTTTTTGTCCACTTGACAAAACCAAGGAATTACTCCCGTTAGATTGGCCTGTTGGTGTGTCTGTGAAGCATTATGTTTCATTCTGTTCTGTTCATGCCCCCCACCTCTCTCTCTCTCTCTCTCTCTCTCTCTCTCTCTCTCTCTCTCTCACACACACACACACACACACACATGCACACACACACAATGTAGCCACATTGGCCTGAAACTCAATATATCAAACAGGTTGGCCTTGAACTAACAGAGATCCTCCTGCCTTTGCCTCCTGAGTGCTAGAATTAAAGGCACACATTGACATGCACAGCATCTTCTGGATTAATCACAGATAGGATGGCAGGCCACTGTGGACGGTGCCACCCCTGGGCGGGTGGTCCTGGGTTGTATAAGAAGCAGGCTGAGCAAGGCAGGAAGAACAAACCAGTGAGCGGCACTTCCCCGTGGCCTCTGCTTCAATCCCCGTCTCCAGGTTCCTACCCTTAGCTTCTGCCCTGACTTTCCTCAGTGATGGACTGTTTACCTGAAAGTGTTAGTTGAAATAAACCCTTTCCTCTCCAAGTTGCTTTTGGTTTTGGTGTTTGTTACAGCAACTAAAATAGAACACACAGAAAGGTCCAAGGCACCAGGGAAGATAAACAAAAGGCCTTGGAGATGGAGCTAATCAACCAGACAGATGAGAGGGAGACCAAAGTCTGGGCCAGACAGCAGAGCAGTCATCTTCCCTACCTCATAGCATTCAAGACACGAGTGCAAGACTCGATCGTCCTTCCACACAGCCTTGCTTCCAAGGCAGCTAATTATGATGGATTATAATTACAGCTTGTAGGTAAGGATGGCGCCTAATGAACGCTTCCTATTTTAGGAAGCAGATTCCAGGCCGTCCCACAGACAAGGGGATAGTCCACAGCACTGGGGCTACTTGGTGCCTGTGAGAACAGGGAATGCTTAGCACAGTTAGCAGTGATTGGGATCCCTGCAAGGCTGCTGACTGCTGCAGCGGTGTCAAGGTCAAGACAAACAAAAGGAGAGCCAAGGGTGAACAGAGGCAGGCTTCAATCATCTCTAACTGGGTACTGCACATAAACAGCTGCCATCATTTCCCTAGGTGGCCCAGGGATGGGGCACGTGTTCAGGATGTGAGCCCTCCATTGGCTCAGCCCGTGATAGTTCAGAGAACTCACACATCCCAACAGACACTGCCTTAGTCTTTGTCCGGTTTCTGCCCTATCACTGTAAAACCCTTAGGAAGTTCAATGATTTTTTTCCCTCACTTGGAAAATTCTTCCAATTTTCTGCAGTTTCCCCTACTTTCCCTTAGTGTGATGGCTCTTCTCGGTTGTCACCTTGACTGGATCTGGAATGAACTGCAATCCAGAAATGGAGGGCACAATTTTGAGGGATTTTCTGCTTGGTTTTAAGTGGGTGAATCCACTTAAATTCAGGACTTTTGATTTAGGAAGGCACACCCCTTTAATCCAAATCTTGAGAGCAGAAGACATACCTCAAATCTGTACCATACCTCCTGCTGTAAGTCTATGTAAGGACATAGGAGAAGGAAGGCAGCTTCTGTTGTTTGCCTACTTACCTTCCCCTTGCTAGCAATCCATTCCTTCACTGGCATTGGATCCTACTTCAAGACCAGCTGAGATGCCCAACTTCATGGGACTGAGCAATTATTAGATGCCTGGGCTCTCTGTTCATAGCTAGCCATTGAACAGCAGTCTGTAAGTCACGCCAATGAATCCAATCTCTCTCTCTCTCTCTCTCTCTCTCTCTCTATATATATATATATATGTGTGTGTGTGTGTGTGTGTGTGTGTGTATGTATGTATGTACATGTATTTGTATTATGTATATATGTTGTACATATATGAGAGATTCATTCCATAAGTTTTGTGACTCTAGAGAGTCCTGACTAATACACTTAGCTTCTAACTTTTCCTCAATTTCTTGTGTGTGTGTGCATGCGTGTGTGTGTGCGTGCATGTGTGTGTGTGTGTGTGTTACAGTCCATCTGGCCCATTGCTTCCAGAATTGCTCATCCAGCACATTTGCTGAGGGCCTTGGGGAAAGAATGTAGTAGAAAATGGATGCTTAGAACAAAACACAAGATTTTCAAGAAACTTTCCTTTGTTTTTATCAGTATTTCCCAAGAAGATCTAATAAACTGGTAGGAGAAAACCTACTGAGGTCTATGCGTTTATCAGCCAGTCCTCTCCCGTGCTCATTAATCCACTGACTGAAGACACCTGAGAGATGGAGGCAGGAGGTAGAGTCAGTGAGACACGGTTGCTGAGAAATGTGCACTACACACTGAGAATTCAGAAATCAATAGGATATTTAAGTAGACACCTAAATAAATCATTTAGATATTTAAGTAAATATAGATAAGTAAATAATCGGATATGTGAATCTGATAAATCTAGTCTTATACATAAGTCTAAACATCTACACAATGTAAATATATAAATCAGTTCACTACCCAATGAGACCCTTAAGGAGCTTCATCCCAGGTAACAGTGCATCTGATCACCTGAGCAAAGGCCTTCGGGATGAAATGTCATCACACTGGAGTCAAATGGAGGCCACCGCAGGGCAGGGCTGCATATTCCAGGCATTTTTATGCTCTGCTCTCGCTTAGTGATCGTTACCAGATTTAATTGGGAAATAAAAGTATTAGAACATCACGAAGTAAAAAAAAAAAAGAAACCATAGCTTCTGAAGACAGTCCTCTATCACAAACAAAACTGAGAATCATGTTTTTAAAATGTACCTTGCTGAGGTTTTTGTGATTTCGGTAGTTTTTTCAAAGACTTATAATTTTGGTTTCTGCTAACACAAAAGTGATATAAATTGTTCATGTAAAAATTCTGCATTTTCATTTCTTTTAAATATGCTTTTAGTTAAAGCAGAATCACACCATTTTCCCTCCTCCCTTTCCTCCAGCAGCTCCGAGGTACCCTCCCTCAACTTCTACCAATGCCTCTACACCCTGAAGCTAAAAACCTCTTTTGCTTTGATTATTACATTTGTACATACATGTATATGGGAGGAGAACCAGTCTCTCCCAGGGAATGGCCCCTTATTGGTTGTCAGACCCAAAGCAGTCATCCCTGAAACCGTTTGTGTGTGTGTGTGTGTGTGTGTGTGTGTGCACGTTCGTGTGTATGTATGCGTCTATGTAACACAATTTGACTCAGCAGGTTGGATTTTCAATACTTCAGCACTTTAAAGTCTTCACTTAGAAGATCTGGGCTCCTTTCAATGTGTTTCCTTCTACTTTCATGATTATGTGAAGAGGCGAGGTCGATCGGTAATTAAAGATCAGCCAGACAAGCTTAATACAAAAGCTACAGCTTAAATAAACAGAAGGAAAACTTACACCAGAGTCCCAACGGTCCATCCTGAACGCAGGAGCCAAGCAAGAGAGCGCAGGGAAGCGTACCTGCCTGGTTTATAGGTAAATTTTTGCCTTAGGGCAACACGCCCCACGGACAGAATGTGATTGGCTGAACTCCCCTATCAATTATGAACCCTGTTGTTTTAGAGATGCCCCAATGATTAAGTCATTCATTCTTATTGGTGATTCTTCAAAATAATTCACTTAAAATATTACTGCAGACGCCTTCCAGGAGCTTATGTGTAGCATGGCAGTTCCTTCACATGTGAAACCTTTACTAGTAATTACTTGTTAGAACCTAGCTAGCTAGCATTTAGCGTCAAACCAGCTGCTCAGCCTCAGCTGTGTGTCCAGGAACATGGCAGCATCATGTGCCAAGTCTGTCTTGGTTGACCGTAGTCTTCCAGAGACCATCTGACACTGATGTAGGACCATTGTGTCCTATGCAGAAGCCTTTCATACTGAGTAGAATTTCCAAGACAGAGGTTTCCAGGCCGAGGCTGTAGCATCCTTACCTCGGCTGCAAACAGTACCGGTAAGTTTAAAACCCGTACCAAGTCAGTAAGGGATACATCCTTCACAATGTAAGTTTTTTAACCCAGAGAAGAAAACAATTTTATTATGATTTCATCTTTACTGGCAGATTTTCTTTCTGGTTGTTACAACGGCGCTGTGTATAAATGTGAGCCCTTGATACGTGGGGAGTTTTTATTTGAGGACAGATACACAGGGAAGCAAAACTGAGGGTGGCAGGGGTTTTAGACTGGAAAGGGCGGTGTGGCAAAATACAGAGGATGGTTTGCTTTGCAGAGTAGATATCAGTCTCGCCCAATTAAAGCACGGCTGTCCTGTTTTATTTTGTCTTTGCTATTATTCTACTACAGATAACTTTAAAAAGGGTGACATCTTCCTTGCCCCAATTCCTGCTCCCTGGGGACAGTTCAGGGATGACTGAAATCTCACCCTTGCATGATTTCTTTTGGTTTTCTGTCCTTGTGTAATGGTTACAGCTCCAGACTAAGTGACACATTAAGTTTTATCAGACAACTGTTAAGCTGTCTATGTTTCACTGTAGCCATAGCTGTCCTGGAGTTTTTTTAGTATTCTACAAAGAGTCTAGACCCCTGATTTCATTGATAAAACCGTTTGTTTTATTGCATCTGGACAAACAACAGACTAACTCTGCTAATAAAACAAAACAAATGATACAATTGTGCTTGAAGTTTGCTCTCTGTTTAAAAAGATTAACTGACAATGTACTCATAACGTATTTAGTATTTGGAAAACTCTAATGGTCATACTATAAATACCGTATCTTAACATTTTTTATTACTTTTTTGTGACAGGATCTTAGACTGTAGCCCAGGCTTGCTTAGTATTCACCATGTTGCCCAGGCTGCCCTCAAATTCATAGCAATCCTTCTGGCTCAGCTTCCCCTGTACTGGGATTATAGACACACACCGCCACCTCTAGCTAAACACAGTATGTTCCATAAAATTTATTTTAAAGTTTTTAGTGGTATGTCTATTTGTGTGCAGACATTAGCATGTCCCGGTGAGTCTGTCTGTGTGTCCGTGGAGGTCACGTGACAGGCTTGGGTCTTGGTCCTCATCTTTCACCTTCTTTGAGACAGGCTCTCTCACTTTGTTTTTGGTTGCCCTGAGCTCGAGGCCTGTAAGATTCTCGGGAAGAGGGATGCTCTGTTCTTTGCCACCCATCTTGCCACAGGAGTGCTTACACATTTATTCCCTTCATCTTTTTGCTGCTCTAGGGATCTGCACTCAGGCCCTCGTCTTGTGTGACAAACCCTCTCCTCACCAAGCGCATGCCTCAAACCCTATCTAGAGCACCTTTCTTTGTAAAGTAATGTAGTATGTTGTGACTTCCTTGAGAATTTCATACATGTGTGCGGTGTATTTTGATCACACTCATCCCCCACTCCCCTAAGACCCATCCCCCCAACGCCTAACATCCCTCCAAATTTCATGTTCTTTTCCCCAACAACTCACCCAGTCCAATTTGGGTTGCTCATACGCTCATGAATATGGAGTCATCCACTGGAGCTTGGTCAGGATAACAGGGGCCGTGCCCTTTAAGAAAGCTACCTTTTCCTCCCATAGCAGCCGTCAAGTATCGGTGGCTTTGCTCTCTGCTGGGATGCTGACTGGCTTGATCTGGTGCGTGTAACCACTTGTGTACTCGTCCCTGTTTCCCCTAGGTCCTCCCTGACCTCTGTGTCTGATAATCTTTCCACTCCCTCTTCCACGATGGCCCCGAGCCTTGGAGAGAGGGAGTATGAAGCAGATGCACTATTTATGGCTGAGCACAGCACAGGCACTGGGTTTCTGCACTTTGACCTCTCGTGAGTTCCTGTGTAAGCCTTCCCAGAAATCTTCGAAAAAAAAAATTATCCTTAGCAAGCTTCCGGAATAGATTTTTTTTTTCTCCTAAAAGAAAGGTCAAAAAGCAACCGTTTTCTCCTTTTCTGAACAGAGGCTCCATCTAGATATAATCTCTTTGTGCCATTAGAGAGTGACACCAACATTAACAGGCCAAGCAGCAAGAAAAACAAAAAGGAGCCAGACCCCAATAGCACATTCAGACATAGAGCAATCAATTCAAGGACACTTAAGACTTCATCTTGTGTGAGACCATGTAAGTCCTTCCAAATACCTTGTTGTAGATACATTTTGAGTCCAAACTTATTTTGCTTATAGCCAAAACCATTCTGATATTTAAGAAAGCTAGCCATCTCTAATTTTATGGGCAAGCTGCGTTTTTTTCCTCTATTGTTACTATTACTATTATTTGTGTTTTGGAGACAGGATCTCAGATAAACCGTGTTGACCTCAAACTCACTATGTAGCCAGCGCTGGTCTTGAACCTGGTCCTCCCACTTCTATCTCTTGAATGCTGGAACTAAGGTGCGTACGACTACACCTGGCTGGTTAAATAATGCATGCATTTCCAGCAAGCAAATGAAATGCACTTGCCTTGCACACCCATCGTGTTGGCTGCTGACTTTTGATATTTTTTGTGGATAGGACACTACTGGCCCGTAAGGCATGAAGGGAATATCATTCACTTTTACTGGACGATCTCAGCTGACACGAGAGCCGTGCACTCTGAAATGAATGTTTCTTCCCACCGAGGAAGCTGCAGCAGGGTTAGCTCTGGGACAGAGACACTAGGGTTGGGAATAAACACAGCATGCCGTCCTAGCACGTATTTCAAGAAGAGAATCCGGTGACGGGAAGTGTCTCAGCTTGAGTAGAGCTTTAAAGGATATGCAGATTTTGTCAGGTTAACAAGGTTTTAGGTAATTTTGTGTCTCCTAAATGTTATATGAATGCAAAAAGTCAGCACATCTATAGTACGGTATCTGTAAGAAAGGGCACTGCTTCCAATCAAATCCTCACTTCCTGAAGAGTTTAATTCCATGAGTTATGGATTACTGAGGATACTGACATGCTTGGGTTTAGGCAGCAGCGAGAGTCTAGCATATGGTATGAAGACAAGAACGGTAGACGGAAGATGACGTCTTTACCTAAGAAAGCACGAGTTCCTTTAAGTACCTTAGTGGTAGCCATCTGCCTGGTATCTGGTTCCAACGATAGAACTTATCCTTATGAATTTGTAGCAGGGAGTTGTTCTTGCCACTTCCCAGCCCAGATATGTCTGGAGAGGTTGATGGATGCATACTCAGGAAGTCTCTGAATTCCAACTTCCACTCCCCAATCTTCACCTCACTGGTTCCAGGGCAAATATAACCTCTTACGACCACCTGGGGGTTCTCTGAAGGAGACTCCTTCTTCAGGAAAACCAGCATGCCTAACAATGCATACATAGCTTCTCTTTCTCCCATTCATCTCAACCCAGTTCTAATCTCAGCTGTATTTATGGCTCTGAAGATTTCGAAGATGAACAGAAAGAAATACTAAAAAGCCACACTAAATCGCACAGACTTATCTATACCTCACACAGTAAATCCTCTCCTGGGACCTAAGTGTGTGAAATAGTTAATGTTCCTGTGTCTTCCTGAAATCGATCCTTGAGTAGGAGAAGAACAGGGGCAAGCAGAGCCTCTGAAGGCCTCTGAAGGCCAAGATGCCAATAGACAACAGGGACTTGAGCCTTAGTTCACACAGGTCCATGTAGGCTGAACCCGAAACCACGTAGCGACTCTGCACTCACAGTGTGAGCAGAATCCCAATGAGATAGCACTGGCTTCAACCTGAAGGCCACTTCTCGCTCTGCAGAAGTCAACACTGTTCTGGAGAGGGAGTGAGCTGGCTTCCAAGTAGGCACTTCCCCATGCTCAGCTTTTAAGAAAGAGGTGGCAGTCCATCTGTCTGGAGTTCTGGAAAGGCTTGCTCCTGTGACCGGAAGTTGGTACCCTAAGCCCCTTTCAGAGCTGAGTTCTTGCAATTCCCAGATCTCCGGCCAGTGATTTGGTTGCTGCTTTTCCTGCCATCCCTTTACCTGCTCACGAGTGTTCAGTTTACTTGCGACTGGAAGGCACGTGGTGTGTGTTTGGGGTGGGGTGGGGGGGAGGAGCAGCGATATGATTTGAAACTGCTCATTGTCCTTGGGCAAATTCCTCAGGTGAAACATTTTACGTGAAACCCTGAGTGTTTGATTGGACTGCATGGACAGACAAAACTGTTGAAAGGAAGGGAGATTAATCATCCGAACGCTTTTCCCGGGGCTAACTTGTAAATGCTCCTGCCATTCCCTTTCTATAGACAAGGAACTTTCGGATTAAAGAAGCGAGGTGGAGTGTCCAGTGTTCCAGTATCAATGACTTCAGCCAGACCGAGCACAGGATTAAGTCCATGGCAAAAGTAATTTGTATTCCTCATCTATTTGTATAAACAATTTGGGTAGTTCTAAATGCACGTTTGTAGAATCAACATCCGTAGAGGATGAAATTCCAATAAATGTTCAATGGAAACTCAGACATAAAAACCATCTCATTCTGTGTTATAAAACTCAACCTTAACAAGAAGATGAGACCGAGAGACTCACATGCAGCGTGAATCAATGAAGCAGGCAGAGCCTTCTCGTCCCCCTTGAGCCGGCTGTTTAAAGTCTGCAGGTCATCTGCACTGGCGTGCCTGTCTTTGATCTTCTATGCCATCATGGCTTAGGGCGAGCAAAGAAGACAGAGACTGATACAGGGAAGAGGCACAGACCTCCATCGCCAGACTTCCAGACAACAGGCTTCTGCCCCAACCATACTGTCAATTATGATGATTCCTCACTTACACTCCACATCACTGCTTTATTATTCCTATTTAAGTTTTTAGTTAAACATTATGGATTCGTGTAACTGTATTTTCACTGACAATGCCTTTTAGTTTCAGATCTCCCAGAGCCCCAAGGCAGGCCCTGATATTGATTTTTTAAAATATGGGTGAGTAATACCCACTGTTTTCCTAATACGCTTTTTGTACGTGGGGTTGTAAAAGTAAACAGTGTTTTTACACCTTCTGTTTGAAAGCTGTAAGCTTTTTAAAATACAGGCACTATTTGACTCGTTAATGGCCCTTACCCAGAAGTTATTTTATACATTTATGTTGGTAGCTGTAAACATAATATACATATTGGTTGTGTTTCCAAATCAAATGCTACAAACCCGTTTAGCAAAACGTGATGTAAAATGATTCCACAAGTCACCATGAAGTCAAACGTGTGCAGAGAAATTACCAGGGACCCTGAAGAGATGTGGATGTAGGTGTGCCCATGGCCCTCTACTCTGCCAACCATCTCCGCGCTAGCAGAGATTCCCTTTCTCCAGTTTGCTGGGGTTCTCGTGAGGATTCTGCTTCTCAGCCACAGCAGCCTTTGAAATGAAGCAATCTGAATTCTTTAGCCACAAATCAATGTGTTTACTTGATGGGACTGGAGGTGACAAAGGAGGATTAGGCGGCCACTGTGAGCTTTCCAGTGTGGCGGTGGAGCATGCCTGGGAGTGAGCTTTCCAGTGTGGCGGTGGAGCATGCCTGGGAGTGAGCTTTCCAGTGTGGCGGTGGAGCAAGCCTGGGAGAGGACATGTGTGCTCCGGTTCCTTTGTGCTGAGAGGAACAGAAGGCAGAGAAAAGGTGATCAGGAAGTCCTGACAGGGTTGCTGGCCGCTCTTCTCTCTAGCGTTAATATCTGAGACAGAGGGTGACAGGAATCTGTGGAAGATGCAGTTAGGGTCTGGCCTGGCAGAGATGGAGGATCGGGATGCATTTCAGGAATGAGTTTGGGACGCGGAAATCCCAGTTATACGCGTGTCTGTGGCAACAAGGATGACAAGAGAAAGAGAGAACACTAGCAGGGGTAGTGTACTCCACAAAGAACAGACTGGTAAACCATACTTTGCCTGTGAAACAGAAGGCAAAACCCCAATTGAGGCCCTCAATCCACGCTCCAATTACACAGATGCCATTTTATTTTCTAAGAAAGGTAGGCTTTAAAACCGAAGCTATGAAATCCAGATGTGGTTTTTCCTACGGGTAACTCTGCTCTATGTGTGTCGATTTTTATAAGGTTAAATGTAAGGAAAAACGTTAATTCCTCTTTGGGACAGTAAGCTGGAAGACAGGCCTGACTGCCCAAGGCTCTGTGCTCTGGAGCTGACTTCCAACAACCTTCTTAACTCGTTATCTCTACATGCATGATGTGTGTGTGTGTGTGTGTGTGTGTGTTTGTGTGTATACGTGTGCACGTGCGAGCAGCTGTGCATACATGTGTGTGTGTCATAGCTTGTGTTTGGAGGTGAGCAGACAACCTCAGACCTTCCTTTTACTTTGTTTGAGATTTGCTCTCTTGCCCCCCCATCCCAACCCTAGACTTGCTGCTGGCCTAGGAACTTCCACGCCCCCCGCCTCCCGCCATTGGTCCCAGATTTCAGACGGGCTCTACCCTGTCCCTTTTCATGTGGGGTTCCAAACTCACACCTTCAGACTTGTGGGAGAAGTGCAAACACTTTATTCACTGGGTCATCTTCACACTTTTTTCCCATTGTTTGCCTGTCTGCAAGGTGCACAAGAGATGTGTGGTGGTCAATTTATCGCTCTGTTTTTAGGAAGTGTGGCATCCGTGGTTGTAGAAGTCATGGAGGGAAGAGAGGAGACTGGGGCCCAAGGAAGGCAGTCTAGAGGCCAAGACAGCTACTCCCTGGGACATCACAAATTGCTCAAACTGGAAGAGACAGCTGGAAAAGAAGAGGGCTGACCTGGATTCGAACTGTTTTCTACCATGAAAGGTCTGTGACTGGCTCTGTAGGCTCTACTACAATAACCGAAGTGACCAAGTTCAGATAGGTATTATCTTACTGTCTTTCACAAGTAGAGTCTTACCAGATGGTGGTGGCATATGCATTTCATCCCAGAGGCAGAGGCAGGCAGATCTCTGAAGGTTCGAGGCCAGCTTGGTCTACAGTGTGTTTTTCAGAACAGCCAGGGCTGAGAGAAAGCCTGTCTCAAGAAACTAAAACAAAACAAAAACAAAACAACAATAACAACAAAACAAAACAAAACAACAACAACAAAAAACCTGAATAAATACAATCTTAACTATGCTCTCAGAGCCAGAAAAATATTAGTGGAAAAATCAAAATAATTAATTAAACCATCTTGAATTAAGAATATTGAATAAAGATTTGACACACTCACTCACTCTGGCTTCTTAATACTTATTTTACACAGTAAAATGACTCACCAAATATTAAATGAAACTGGATTCCAAAGCTCGGTGCAGGGATCCCAGGTAGTGACGGAAACCTAGGGTTTAACAATAGGCATTTAAATTTCGTCTATGTTTTCCTCAGATTGTGTCACATTGCGGAACAGAATTCCTTCGTTGCAGAAACATAATCATTTCAGAAAGCAAGCTTGTCATCTTCAGCCCCTGTTTCCGGTTTCTTATTTAACTTAGTGGCCTAGTCAAGAGCCAGGTGAATTCTTAAAAGTCTAGCCCCAGCTAAGGCTTAAAGTCCCAAACCAACAGACTTGGGAGTGGCACAGGGGGCTATTGGATGGGGTGTACTGAACCACATGAAAAAGCTGTCACATCACCCACAGGCAGAGTCTACTTTGAAGCTAGGTTGAAGAAATTCAGCTCTCTCCTGAGGCAGCAAATCAAGAGGCTTACTTTAAGTCCCTGCCCTGAGGGCAGGAGGCAGGTGGCACGGGGATGCAGCTTCTGTGGAGGATGGAGATCAGGATGACCCCCTATAAAAACTGAACAACTGGTGTCCAGGGTTTCTGAAGGAAAGTGGGAGGCAGGAAGGAGCAGGGCTCAAGCTCCTTTTGCTGGGTCTGCCGGGGCATTTAATTTCCGCTAATGTTCATTGGGGGAGCAGTACTAAGCTTGGAAACTCAAGCCCAGTGAGTCGTGCCATCGCCCTTAAAGAACTCAGTTCAGCAAATTGGTTTTATCACTCCTTGGGAGCTTCGATAACTTCTATCCTGTTAGTTGCCAAGGCTGAAAGGTGCATCTAATTCCATCCACATTTCAGAGATTGCGAAACACAGACAGGACGACCGAGAGTGGGAGGGACGGGTGCCAGGCTGGAGCCGCCAGACAGGGCTGTGGTGCGTGCCTCCTGGCACCGGCAGCCTAGACCGTCCCCCGCGTTGGCACCAAGAGCTCCGCGGAGTTCCTTGCCCCACTCTGAGCCTCGGGCTGACAACCGAGGGCGGGGTGGAGGTCGGGTTCCGGACAACAGCGCTCATAGCCAGCGACAGAGTCGTCCCTGGCGCTCCAGCCTTTGCTCCAGGGGCCGACCCTTGGGGTTCCGTCCGGTCCTCTAGCCGCCCCCGGGGCCGGGACAGCAGGGCGGCGGTGCGAGCGTGGGAGGGGGCTCTAGGACTCTGCCGGCCCCGCCCCGCCCCCTCCTCGGGGACCCGGAGCCTAGCATGGACCACACTCGGCGCTGCAGCCATGGCGCTCGCCCGCTGCGTGCTAGCTGTGATTTTAGGGGCACTGCCCGCAGTGGCCAGCGTTGATCCCGCCTCGAACTCGCCCCTGCACCGCCCGCAAACGTCCCCACCGCGTCCCCAACACTCGCACTACCTTCCCAGCTCGCGGCGGCCACCGAGGACCCTGCGATTCCCACTCCCGCCGCGGGTACCAGCTGCCCAGCGCCCTCAGGTCCTCACCGCCCGGCACACGCCCCCGAGGCTCCCACGCGGTTGCGGGGCAGGAGAGCTGTGGGGCAACACCACCGACCTCGGCGCCCCGTGTCTGCACTGGACAGAGGTGCCGCCCTTCTTGGAGCGGTCGCCCCCGGCTAGCTGGGCTGAGCTGCGAGGGCAGCCACACAACTTCTGTAGAAGCCCCGACGGCGCGGGCAGACCTTGGTGCTTCTATCGGAATGCCCAGGGCAAAGTGGACTGGAGCTACTGCGATTGTAGTCAAGGTGAGTGGTGTCCCGGCAGAGGTGGCAACTGAGGACTGGCACGGAGGCAACCTGGCCTGGGGACAGTATCTGTGTACCTGGAGGCAAGAGAAAGGGGTTATGGGTTTGCACTGTGGTGTGGTAGACACATAACTAGTAAAGTGCATCCATTTGTACAGTAAGTGTCAGTTTACAAAGCGTGCATCGTGTGACGATTGTCATGGGGATAGTAGCTGTGATAGCTGCTCAGCTCTAGTCTCTGGATAAGGTCTAAAGGTCTATCCGGCCACGGTGTGTGTGTGTGTGTGTGTGTGTGTGTGTGTGTGTGCGCGTGTGTGTGTGTTCTGTGTATTCACACTCCCCACACACATTGACAGAATTAGGCATGGTAGTGGGTGTCTGTGTCTGTTGTCTGTATTAGCTGGTCTTGATAATGCTCCCTGCATACAAAAGAAAAGTAAAGAAAAACATACATTTGCTAGCCACTAGTTTGCGAAAGGGAACTATTAAATGCAAGATGAGTCCCAGCAAACTTTCTTAGCTCTACAGACCCGGATTTGGAAAGCTGTGGTGAATGTTTGCCTCGCTGCCATTGTTGACTTTAAAGCATGGCAAAATTCTCAGGCCAAAATACAAAGACAGTTATGTTCTGGGGCGCCCTATGGTAAATAACACCAGGGAGTGAAGAACAAAGGAAAGAAGGGGACGGAACAGGAACTGCCTCAGTAACTAAGGAGGCAGCGAGAGTCAAGTGAAACCTTCAGCAAACCATTACTTAAGCTGTGCGTGTCCCTTGTGGAGAATTGGAATTAATAGTCAACTTTAGCAAAGGTTACTAGGGCATCTCAGCTTTGTGGCAGCAAAAGAATCACATTAATCACTTGAATGCAAAGAATAATCTTTACATTATTATGTAAAAATACCTTTACACAGTGCTTTACTCCGTCCGATGTGTTGGGGTTTGCATTTAGTATTAAATTTGCATTTTATATAACAACTGGGAAAGAAAGAATAAATGGACTATCTCCTAGTAGAACAAAAATTTTTCAATGACACTCTCTATAACAGGAGTTTCATAAATCTCCTGAAGTGTGTGCTTCCGGCCCTTGGAGGTAACCTTTCCCAATGTCACTCCTTTCTCACAGAAATTTTATTTATCTCTGCCTTCAATTGAGTTAGTGCTTCAAGTTAAAGGAGAGTGATACGAAGGTTGAGATCAATTATTCTTCATCCTGGAGAATGAAGTCATCGCTGCACTCGTGATTCATGGGGAGAATGCCAATGTGGCTGTGAAAAAAATCGGGATGATGTCAAGCAAAGAGCTCCGCTATTACCTCATTTACTCTAAGACCATTTAAAAAAATGTGTTGTGTCTAGCAATCATTGGCAGCTTTTTATTATTATTCCTACTTTTATAAATAGAAATAGTAGAGAATTATTCAGAAATTAGTAGATAAGAAATGACAAACTCCCCTTCGAAACGCAGTAAAAAAGGAATTCAAAGTTAAAATATTGTGGCAATCTATTTCGCCTTTCAAACACATAAGGAACTTCCAGTGTCATAGTCTTAGTGAAGAGAATAGTTTGTCTTTGAGACACTCTTTGGAGAGGAATTATAATATTTTTCAGTGCCTTTAGATTCATAGCTAGTGTTTAGCATCTAAAATCTCAAATGTGGTTGTGTTTAGGTTTACAAAATATAAGAGAAACAGAAGCAGCCACCCAAGATAAGTAACAAACACAGGAAAGACTGACTATGTAACACCCGAATCCCTCTTACAGGACCCAACCTTGATAATCTAAGCCCTGGGCTCTGTTGCTCACTCCTGAAAGTCTGTTTAGCTATAATCCAAGCTTTCCAGACGTCTGGCATGCTCTGAATCTTATAGCTTTCTTATTCCCACACATTTCAGGGCTTGGACAAGAATACTGTAAAACAATGAAAGACTATGGGATTATTCTTTAGAAAGCATTGTGTGGCTCCGACACAGTAAACATTGGGTAAGACTCTTAACTGTTAGAGCTTTGGGTTTCTTCATGTAGAGAAAAGCAGGGTGTTTTCTTTTTCCAAAAAAAAAAAAAAGATTTGTTTATTTGTGTGTATTTATGCCGTGTCTCTGAGTGTACGCACGTGTGTGTGTGTGTCTGTGTGTGTGCGTGCGTGTGTGTGTGTGTGTGTGTGTGTGTGTGCATATGGCCCCATGTGTCCTTCATTTGAAGGCCGGAAGAGGGCAACTGGATGTCCTTTTCTACCACTCCACGTATTGCTTTGACGTGGGGTCTCTCCCTGAGACCTCCTCTCGCCTCTGCCCTCCTCAGAGCTGCTGCTAAGGACACGGGCAGGATGTGCCCCTTGTCAGTGGGCGCTGGCATCCGAACTGCACTCTTCGCTATTACACAGTCAGCACTCTCGGCTGCTGAGCATCTCTCCGACTGCAGAAAGTCAGTCTCTGAGCAAATTAATTAAAAGAATTTTTTTTAAGCTCTGGGCATGTAGTCAGAATGACCTTGTCTATTTCTTTCCAGCTAGGACTTACGGAACCCTCGCTTTGTGCTGGATGCTGGACTAAGATGCTTGTTTTCTTTACTTTCCATAGTCATCTTTATAAAGGAACCCCTGCACTTTCCTGCTGGCGGTCCTAAAGGAAAGCCAGGAAAGCAGAAGAACACATGGTAGGACGTGCACACAGACGTGTCCGTTTTCCTCTCACAGCTCATTGTGCTTCATTTCTTTATTTGTATGTAATGTGGAAATCTCTGTGCTGGGTTGCGACACTCACTTGTCAGCGTGTGGGCTAGTCCCAGCGCAGAAAGAAGGAAAAGGAATCACGTTTAGTGCAAGTACAATGCACATTATTTCCAGTACCTTATGCTTCAAAGGTTTTTTTTTTTTCCTTTACAGTAAAACTGGAGCCAAAGAAAAGACAAATTTATAGAAATGTGATCCCTCCTTTAAAGCTCAGACTGGGGTCAGAGCAGAGTTTCGAGTCCCATATGGAGAAGTGAGGAAGTAGGGCCCTCCTGCATGCTGATGAAGGTACGGGGGGGGGGGGGGCGTCTCAGGTGATCAGGGCGTGGATCAGAGCAGGAAATGTAATGCTTTGGCTCCCGTTCCACGAAACTTATGTATTAGTAATAAAACATCTTTGTGGGGATTGGGAAACCTGAGTCAGTCCAGGGACTTAGTTCTCACAGGGAACATTAAACTTTGCCTGGAGAGGACCGGCACAATGGTTCAGCAGGTAAACTATTTGCCATTGAGTCTGATGACCTGAGTTTGATCCCCGGCACTCACATGAGGTAAGGAGAAAACTGGCCCCCTTAAGTTGTCTTCTGACCTTCACCTGTGCACCATGGATATGCCCCTATCTTAGTCACTGTTCTGATGCTGGGAAGGAACATCATGACTAAAGCGATTATTATAAGAGAGAACATTTTAACTGTGGTGGGCTCATTATCATCATGGTGGCGAGCGTGGAGGCATGCAGACATGGTGCCGGAGAAGTAGCTGAGATTTTTGCATTCTGATCTGTAGGGAGAAAGAGAGAGAG